TGGGACGAAAATAGTGATAGAAGAAGGGAATCTCGCCCACACCGGGAAGTAGTACAGAAAGACGAGCTAGGAGGAGAGCCTCCTGCATGGTGCATGGTGAACCAGTCATTCTGGATACTGGCAAATAAAGATGAAAAGATAGTCTAGATTGATAATAGGGTAACAGAGTGGCCACAGCAGTCACACATTCCGAGGAACAAGATACCAGCGCTGGTGAGACCCTCGGAAGAAGCACGGAATAGGTAGTTAATTCGGGAGTATCGGGTGTCACATTTCGAAACCAAGAAACTGAATTGCGGAGTAGTCTAAACCATGTCAGCCGAGTACAAAGTCGGGCTGATGATGGCTCTCGACGGCAGCTTTGACACACTTCATGGTAGTAACTGAGTAACTGTGGCTGAGAGGGGGGTTTCTCCGTATGGCCGCAAGCGCACTGCAGGACTCTGTTGTGACTAAAATGAGGGGACTTAGACAGGAGTCATGAGAGCCTCTTGTCATCTCAGACAAGATAGCAGTCTGTAACAAGAGGGGAAACAAACAACAGCGGACTTCATCGGCAGCCGCTGTCACTGAACGGAACTACTATAGCTAGGTCTGTGGGTTCGATGTGGTCACAGTCTTACATGACACGCATCTGGCCAAGAATAGAAGTGCATAGCATGAGGTTCTATGGAGTATCTATTAGAGCAACAGGTTGAGTGCTCAATCTATTGATCCATCTTCGATACAGACATAGTATATTCAACGGAACTGTGGGGCCGGAAAATGGATTTAATATAACTCGGGAGAGAGTGTCAAGATTGAACACGGCGCAGCAAAGAAAAAAGACACAGTATGGAAAGGATCCTTCCCATAGATTTTAATTGCCGTCTCATTGCGTGAACAAAGTTGCCTGCATTAGTGATAGGGTTCGGTGGGATACTGACACGAACCAAAATCTAAAATAAGCAATGACTCGTCAGATATATCGACTAAGCTGGAGCAGTAGGCACAGAATCACGAGTTTATAATTCCCATCACGAGTGTCTGACAGATCGGAATGACTTGGCTGATCTAGAATAGCCACGACCGGAACAATCAATATCGAAACATGCATGGACTGCAGCAATTATAAGATGGCTCGGATATAAAAGAAAGGCATAAAGTGAGACGCAGCTTCTGGGTAGAGAAGCTGGCGCACCATTATTGGTGGTGAAGGTCATAATACCGAATAGACGGAAGCGTAGACACGATGTTTGATAGAAAGGAAGAGAAGATGCACTTGTGGGATGCAGCTCGAGCTGAGATAGCGGCGGCCGTCCAACCTCTGGCTGTTTCACTTATCCGAGGGGCTCTAATCCAGATCAACATGCACGAATGGATTCGACACCATCAATGGAAATCGAAGTTACTTTCTGCAATAAAAGCAAACCAGGTGATGGCAATAGTCCCACCAACCTGGGTCTTGATTGCCTTAAGGGAGCCGAGGCTATGGATATTGTGACCCTGATGATTACTGTTTCTGCTGCTGCTGCTAATAACACCGGTGGTAGTAGTGTTACCAAGATTCTGACGCTGTCAGGGTCGCTAGGATTGTATGTACTAGGATTGTTAGTCACTTGTGTCGATGCTGCCATTGTTGCGGGTGTTGTCATTTTTCTCTTCTGTAGGGTGAGCCTCAGCATGTTTTAAGAGACGCCTAGGATCGAGTCTGGGTATATGCTTTAGCGTCTATGTTGCTGGCTTCTGCGAACTGCTGCAGCGCCGGTAGACAGGAAGTCCTATTTTATCTGTCCGACATATAGCCTTATAGGCGGTAGTGTAGTTGATAGAGACTGGGCAGTTTGCCACTGGAGAAGGCATATATGACAGTGATGGCTTAAGTGACGTGCATAGTAGTCAATGCCACGAGAGAATCTGTTTTATGCTGGATGGCACAGCCACGAACGGGACTATGACCAAAGGAAGGGTATCCGGCGTCAGGACCATGACGATAAAAGTTCGGCCATCATAGCTAATCATATAGACGAGAGATCGGATGAAGGCGTTGCTTGTAACTGCAATGACGGGAAAATAGACCGAACTTCTCATATCTAACTGGTGATTGAACCGGCACTACTGAACAGATAACAATCTGGTTTTGCGGTGAGGCTGCAGCACCGCGGTGGGATAGATTTACGAGTTTGAGACTGAGACGTTCATTGATACGAAAGCCCTTAAGCTTCGCCATGCTTCAGATCGTTGCTCGAATTGTACTGATGAGGGGCCTGAGAAGCCGATGCCAGTTTTGCTCCTGCGTAATTAGAAGCCAGTCGTCTTCGAGGTTTGTTTTGATAATAAATGTTGACATGACCCGCCAATTGACCTAGATATGTGCTCAAGATTTCGCTTCCACATTTCTTCATCTTATATGAGAACCGAATGCCTCGAGCGTATGCTTGCAAGCCCTCCCAATACCAGAGGAGCCACCTGGTGTTGACGTTTGCTGCTCTTGTGTCTATAAGTTGCCCTTACCCATAGCCAATTGTCTTCTTCTAAGTATCTAGTCCATCCGCAATGGACGGCATTTTTAGGAACCTCTGGTGGAGCCGGTAGTAATTGCATGAACAGAGCACTTGTATTTAGTACTTTGACCGTTGCGACAGAGGAGCTGGAAGCCGGGTGTCTTTTTTTTTTTTTTTGCCCAACGATCTCCCAGCTCTAAACCGTATTTCCCTTTGCTAGGATCATACGCGATGAGTCCGGAGTGGGTTCAAGTCATGGATGGGGTAGCCGGGGAAGCCGTTGCAGAGCCACAGTCGATTTTCCTAGTAGACATTTAGCACACGCTGGAAATATTTTCATAAAACAAAACGATGTGCGAGATTGTCTCGTTTTGAGTCGCGTAGTTTACAGATCAATGAAAGTAGCTATTTCCAGAATGCCAGGAGGCAAAAGCGTAGACGCACTTTGTACTCAGTTCTTCTCTGAGTCGGAGAGCTGAGAGAGCCGAGTGAGAGAACAAAATGAGCATTGTTGGATCTGGCAGTGAGATCCGATAGTAGAAACAAGTACTTTGCACCCAGTCATGGAAGGTATCCTGGAATAGCCACAGTAAAGTCAGAGCAAGAGCATGATTTAAATTGTGATGACCTAGGATGACAAGTCCGTCACCGTTGGTAGTTAACTAGTTAGTTACTATGTAGTAAAATGCAGTGTGTTACTGCCGATCGGCGAAGGTGACCGCTTTCTGCAAGGAGTTCACCGCCTTTGAGCCTCTCGGCCTTACTGTAGTCGCTCATGACTCCGGGGGTTTTCTTATCGGCATTTAACGATCAAATTTCTCAACAAAACTGTAAATATCCATAGACTGATAAATACACGGTCCATGCCTGGGATTATCGGAAGACAAACCGACTGCCTGAGTAGAAGGTATTTAGAATGATGCGCTGAATCCGGTGACATAGGGAATCCTAGGGATCTGCATCTCTCTTCCCTAAGGAGTATGATGGAGTTAGGCCTCCTTGCTTGTTTAGACTGAATACTCCGTACTCTTTTTCTCTCATTCTTTCGGTGGGTATAAACCCATGATGGATGATTGAGAAGAAAAAAAAAAAGGCTCCGAATCGGTGGCTCTCCGTTTAGTGGTTGAGTGGGCACCGGAGACCGAGAGCACGTGCCTTGGGCAGGCCAGCTCCGAAGTCCGGACCCTTCTTAGTGTTAATAGAGATATTATCTAATATCCCCCCGGCGCGGCCACCGCAAAGTCCACTGCACCGCTGCACCACCCCACCTTCTCCGTCCTCCGTCGCTCTGTTGGCTTGCTTTCCGCTGGCTGATTTACTAGTCCGGACTTTCTTTCTTTCCCTTCTTCCCCTCCTCTCTCTCTCNTCNCTCTCTCTCTCTCT